GCTAACCCCATCCACGGCAATGAACCCTTTGGGGACAATGTACCTCAGAAGCTCCTTCGTCGTCTTCACTCTCACCCACAGAGAGTCCCCTTCAGATTCGAACCCTACGATTTCTCCAGTCCCGTCTACATGTCCCTGCACGAAGTGACCTCCCATCCTAGTGCTCGGCGTCAAAGCCCTCTCCAAATTGACTCGAGATCCGCGTTCCAGCTCTCCCAGGGAGGTCTTCCGCAGGGTCTCCGGAGCCACGCCGGCCGAGAATCCGGACGATCCAGTGTCGAATTCCGTGACGGTGAGACATGTGCCGTTGACCGCGATGCTGTCCCCGAGGCGGACGCCTTCGAGGACGGTTTTCGCGCCGATCTTCAGGGTAAAACTATCCGGATCTGCGCGGCCGATTTGCCGGACTTCGCCGATCTCTTCGACTATGCCGGTGAAGAGGGAGGTGATTGTGGTGGTTCTGGATCGGGGTTTGGTGGATCGGAGGGAATGAGGCTTGAGGGAGAGGGCGGAAGTAGGGCTGTTGAATAAAAGCGATGGCGTCCATTGGTGGAATCGGAGGTTGACTGGGGCAGGAGTTTTCAGATTTTTGATGGAGCTGTAGGGTTTGGAGATGGGAGCCAACAAGGAGACGGATGCCATTTTCTGTTTGTTTTCTTACCAGGCTTGCAGCTATGCAAGACAAAAATGCATAACAAGACAACAACGATGTTGTGGTAGGTGTATTCCAAAGTGATTACTGATACTCCATCCGTCTGGAAATGTTCTTCCCGTGTTGACTTAGCACGCTTATTAAAGAATAGTAAAAAAAATGCAAAATTTTAAAAAATGCACATACTATAAACTTTTAAATCTCCTTTTATTATTAAAAAAGTAGATTTGTGATAAAATAGAAGGGTATTATTGATATTTAGCCTTAAAAAGCATACTAAAAAAAGAAATGGGAAGATTATTTCCGGACGGACCAAAAAGGAAAATGGGAAGAATATTTCCGGACGGAGGGAGTACATGGATATTTTGATGGTTCATACTGATATAAAATAGTAGTTCAATTTTAAAAAAAAATTATCGGCATTTGATGTCAGTATAAACTATAAACTATCACATTAATATCACACAAACACTAAATATTAGTGCATGCCTTTAGAATACAAATATAAGTACAATTTTTAGTGTACAAATAACTTAATTCAGATGTATAAATATCTAATATCTCGGATGGAGCCAAAATTTCATCATCTCGGATGGAGCCAAAATTTCAGCATTTTTGGCTTTGGGATGTGATGGAATAAATCAAAATGGATCTCTAAACTGTCTGTGCTTCTTTAATTAATGAAGTAGCAGTTAGTTAAACAATGCAACTTTCGACGTTGAGCCGGGGGTCTCTTTGGAAACAGCCTCTCTACTTTCGAGTAAGGCAAGGTCTGCGTACACACACCCTCCCCAGACCTTACTTTTGTGGGATTTAACTGGGTTGTTGTTGTTGTTGTAAATATCTAATATCTTACGCTTCGAATAGGGAAGAGCAAAAGGATTGAGACAATAAAGATTGGGAGTGAATGATGTTGACTAAAAATTAGCCTTAGACTAAAAATAGTTTGATTATAATTGAAGACATTGAATATTTGTCATTAAACTAAAAATAGTTTAAGAGCACTATTGACACTATGAATATTGAATATTGAATCCTTAAAATGAATATTATGTGTATGATATCAATCTTTAAACTTTTTTTAGTTTAAAAAGCTCCTTACTCGTCTTCTTCGTACCAAAATATCGTAATATATCATTCTTTGATCATTGATATTTATGAAAATAGATCAAAGCTTTTAATGATTCTTTTTGGACTATTGACCTATAATGTTACTTACGTCATCTCAAATTTTAAACAAAAATATTGAAGTGTGCATTACATAGGTATGAATTTAATTTTAGACTAGAAAAGTAATGCACAACAAGGATAGCGTGAGAGATCATTTTCTTTAACATAAAAGGTGCAAAAGTTAGAGAGAAAATTAAAAATAGTCAAAATGTACATGGAAATATATATTTAATGATATTGGAAAGTCAATGAGAAGAAAATGAGTAAATTTTATTAAAAATAAATAAAAATTAGCAAAAAATAAAAAGAGTAATAGTACAATCGTATACGAGAAAATTACACTAGTATCTCATGGGTAAATATGTGTACTTCATTTGCATTCAAAACTTACACCATTCCTCGTCTGGTATAAAATTAGACACAAATGTCTCGTTCACCACGTAAAACTATGTAGCTAAACAATACATGTAACGAACATGTTTGATTTACGAATGATTTTTTTAATTAAACGTAACAATAACAATTTTCTAGCACAAATCATATATTTAACGTAGAATATTGGCGGAAATTAGTTGTTGGTTGTTGGCTGATAGCTGTTCGTATTGACTGGTTTGAACGGTTGGTTGAGTTGGCTGCTTTGACCAATCGATTATATTAGCTGTTGATAAAAATTATTTGGCAAAATTAGCTTTATTAAAATAGCTTTTATAAATTAAATTGAATTCAATAAAAAATTTTACCTATATAATTATATGGTATAACATGTTTTGCAATATATTCCGTATATTCTTTCTTTCTTTCCTCAAATAAAATTTTTAGCTAAATATTGTTCTAAAGTCATTATGATTTTATTTATTTATGTGTTTTTATCGATCAATTGATAACATAATATAATGATACGGAGTATCATATTTTGTTTTAAAAAACTTTTGATGTAGTTCTTAAATATATAATTTGTTTATTTCTACACCAAAATCTCAAAAAAATTCAGAAAGAAGTATTTTTCTCCCAAATCGATTCATGAATTTTGCACGGGGAAGGACTATTTATTTATTCACTATTTATTTATTGATATATTATTTACTTATTTATTTAGTTATTAATTGATTTATTTTTTTATTTATTTATCAATTTTTTATTTATATATTTATTTTTTTTATTTATCAATTTTTTATTTAATTATGCAATAAATAAATATTTTTTTATCTATTCAGAAAAATTACATACAATACCAAATAATATATTAAAACATATTTTCCAACCAACAAAGCGAAATGCTACTCTCCGTAGCTTTTTAAAATTTGGCTTTTCGAACTCAAACAACCAACCTTGCACCCAACTACCAAACACCGTTTTTGGCTGTTTGACCAATCAAATCTGCTAAAATTGGTCAAATGAGTCAAAAGCCATCCTAAATGCTAAAAATCAAACATGCCCAATGCCTATTGTTTTAGAACTAGGTCCATTTGAAAAGAAAATTGAAGGATGACAATACACATTTATCAAATGGGGAATGCTATAGGCACACCACCATTTAACCCCACTTTAACCCCATCTATACAAAAGTTTTTATTTTCTATTTTTTAAAATAATTGACTTCATTCTCTCTCCTCTTTAATATCCCTTGACCCCAAGTTCTTTCTCCTTCCATCTTATTTGTCCCTATCTCTTCTTCTCCTTTTATTTATTTTTTGTTTTATTTTCAAATTTCAATCCTTTAACTTTAATTGTTCTTTACTTCAATTATTAATTGTGATTGTGTTTATCTTCCTTGTAAGTCAGCCAATCAAGGTTATTTTTTATTTGATTTAATGTTTGTGAAATTTGTTTCTTAGTATGTAAATTTTAAAGCTATTTGTACCTCAAGCTCTTGCACCTCATTCGTACACAGCAAGTTTGCACTGACATTTTGTATTGGTATAAAACTAATTTTTGTTAATGCATCAATACTTTAAATTTGTGTCCGTGTAAATTTTTGTTAACGTACCAACATTTGTGTCGGTGTAAACCATCAAAATATTTTTGTATAACTGCGGTTACAGATGGAATATAATTTTTTGTCCAAATTTTTTATTTGTAGTTTATATTTTAAAAATGAAGGCTTTGTTTGGTAAGAGCATTTTCGATTAATGTTAGTGTTTTAGATAAAATTTTAATGGTGCAGATTAAATTTGAAAACGCTAACGCTAAAGGCTACCGTCGGATAGCGTTTTCAAAACGCTAACGTTAATCTCTGACGCTGATGCCAAACGGGGCCGATATAAGTATGCTTGTGCCGTTATGGTTCTTGCCTTTGTGGAGTACTTGCCATTCATACCGGAATGTACTTATGAACACATGGAGGAATTTTGGTGTCAATTTGCAACAAGTCAGTGGCAAAGTAGAAAACAAAACAATCTTTATTGTTCATGTTCGGATATTTACTAAATTTTTTTAACTTTACAAATTAAGAAAATCTTACGTTCCAAAATGAATAATTCCAAAAATAAACATCTTACTTTCTCAAAAATAAACGTCTTACATTTCCAAANGGCCGATATAAGTATGCTTGTGCCGTTATGGTTCTTGCCTTTGTGGAGTACTTGCCATTCATACCGGAATGTACTTATGAACACATGGAGGAATTTTGGTGTCAATTTGCAACAAGTCAGTGGCAAAGTAGAAAACAAAACAATCTTTATTGTTCATGTTCGGATATTTACTAAATTTTTTTAACTTTACAAATTAAGAAAATCTTACGTTCCAAAATGAATAATTCCAAAAATAAACATCTTACTTTCTCAAAAATAAACGTCTTACATTTCCAAAAATCAAAATGATACATAATTGGCATTACATAATTGAAAAACAATTAAAATTGGAGCATGAAATTTGAAACTAAAATTAAAGGAAAAAAAATAAAAAGAGTACGAAGAAGAAGGGATGAAGAAGATGATGAGGAAGAAGGTGGAGGGACTGCAATAGTTGAAGAAGAGAGAGAAAGTGGTCAATTATTAAAAAATTAAAAAGGAAAAAAGGGGGGGCATATATATGGGGTTAAAGTGGGGTTTATTTGGTGGTGTTCATATAGCATTTCCGTTATCAAATTACAAAGTGTATCAATGCAACAAACTCAATTCCCAAAACAAAATTTTAAAAAGTTTTAAACATATTTTGCTTAATTGACAATTGGGAGTTAAATTATTCGGAAGCAAGAAAGACTGAATACATCCCTCAGCGTACACTCGCTTCTGCTCCGGCTTCAATCTCTCCAGACAAAGCAAAACTCCTGGACCCAATCCCGGAAAAATACTCAATGGAAACTGGATCGGCGGGTCTGGCTACGGCTTCTGTCTCCAAGGGTTTTGATTTCGCTTCCGGAGATGTCCTTTGCGACTACGCCAATCGGGAGCGCTCTACCAGGAGCCACTCTGATCCAGCAATTGGTTCCAATTCCGAGAAGGTGATCTTCTTCCCATCAGCTATCTCGTTAATTTGAATCGTAGTGTATCTTTAAGGTTTCGTTTTAATGATATGCTTACATGAATAATTGAATAGCTGCGTAAGTTTGAGTTATCTGCTGGTTTTGGCTGGAAGTTTTGCATTTTGTGAGCTGTTGGTTACTACTAGTACTTTAATTTAGGATGCATTTGTTGGTTTTAGGGCAAAAGAAAGAGGATGAAGTAGTTTCATGATATGTTTGCCTCTCACAGCCAGAAAGATTGATTGAGAAAATTACAACTAAATTTCAGCAAGTATATACATTTGGTCAGAAGAGAAAGCACGTGCAGGATTCCTTTTTTAGCCGTGTGTTCATAACTTCTTCTATTGCGATGCAACATGGATTTTCTTTTTTCATAGAAAAACATCAACATCGTTAAACACTTAAACCTAAGAATTAGCATTGGCATCTTTAAGTTTGTTTTCATGAACCAATGCAGAATGTTTTGAATTTGCTTCCAAATTTTCCCTCCATCCCCAATTTATGTGGCATTTCTACTAGGTACATGAATCAAGAAAGTGAAAACTTTGTGGTTGAATATTACTGAGTAATATATTATTTAGAGGACAGGGACAATATAAATCACATAATGATTTTCTTAAAAGAATAGTGAGAAGATAATATTGGGAGAGATAGAGAGGGAATGGGAGACAAATGCCTCTCAATTTAGATTTTAACGGGTATATTTAGTAAAGTCAGAGGGGCATTTGGTGTTGACAAAGTTTAGGGATATGGTGAGTCAAAAGGACCATGGGTGAATGGTTTTGCACTACAAAGGGAGCTGCGTTGTATCTTCTTGTATCAATAAGAGGAACATAATGGGTTGAAAGGAGGAAAATGTTGGTTGGCCTTACGTATGCTCTACAAAATGCAGTGTTGGTGAAACCTAAAATGAACATGACAAGAAAAAATATAATGCAAAATGATTAGAATGCAAATGGGATTATCCAGTTAAACTTCTCTGTCTCTCCTAGCAAATATCCAATTGGAATCCAACCTACCATCGTCACTTTAGTTTCTTGATATTCTGGCCATGTTGTCCAAAGTAATCTCATAAAATGAACAATGAGAATCATCTCTGATGCGTTCTTTTTGGAATTGATGTAGTCACTTTGTGATCGAGCACGGACATTGCTAGCATAAGTCCAAAATACCCTCACCCCAGTTTTCCATATATTCCCACATTTCCCCATATATACCTGACCTCCATTTTATAACTCACCCACCTTTTATGGCCTACCCTCTCAAAACCTTTTATTAGAGGAAGTGAGGAACAATTCAAACAAGTCAACACATTTATCCAGCCTAAAGCACCGCAAAGTGAAACACTGAACTTTTCTGAGGGACAATGAGAGCATATTATACGCGTATCATACAATTGTAGTATTGTACAAACTATCATAATGAGTTTTATTTATCATCTAGACACTAGAAACACTGAGTAAAGGATATTGGATGTGTAACATTGATTTTGCTTTTATAATTTTTACTCCATTGTTAAGGATTTTTGAGGGTTAATGACAGAAATCCCGGCTACCAAAATCTTTTAAATTTCTCTAAAAAAAATCTTTTAAATTTTTCTTTGACATTTCTTTTGAGCAGGAGTTCCCCAAAAACAAAATGACAAGATCGTCTATGCTGCCAACACTAGCTTACCACCCACCACAGGGTTCATTGAGTCAAGATGCTATTGATGCTGTTGAGATGAGTGTGAAGAAGCACACAGACAATCTGATGAGGTTCCTTGAGGGAATTAGTTCACGTCTTTCTCAATTGGAATTGTATTGCTACAATCTTGAGAAATCCATCACAGAAATTCATTCTGATTTGGTTCATGATCATGAAGATGCAAATTCCAAACTCAAATCTTTCGAGAAGCATCTCCATGAGGCAAGTCATATTCTTGTGTATGTGCCAGTATTTCTTATATAAATATTGTCTCTTAGACTCTTAATATAGATAAAATAATACGGAGTATAATTAATGAGTCAATATTCATCACAAGAGGAATGACTTTGGTTTGAAATTTCCTCCTTTTTTTTTCATCTTTACCTCATTGTATGTGTAATGAGTCGTAAAAATAACCGATTCTGAGCATTGCAGGAAAAATTGAGTTCCAAAAGCTAGTTCTTGTGTGGAGTTTCAGATAGTTAGCAAGTGCCTTTTAGAAATGTATAACTGGATTAAGTTTGGTTGTTTGAGGGTATTTTGTAATTGACTGTTATTTTTATTCTTAACCAAGGAAGATTGCTGATCCGTTGTTTTTGCTTAAAAAATCTTCGCGGTCTTATTTTCTTTTGGACATGCAATTTGGATCTGGGTTGTGCCCTTTTTATTAGAGATATGACTTGATATAAAACATCTGAAAACCCAATCAAATAAGTTACTAGTAGTAGTCCTTTGATGAAAAAATATTAGTTGAAATAGTTTGGAGAGCGAGAAGATAATTACAAAGGGTTGCTAAATGACTCCCAATCCCACCAATGCACATTCTAAGTAGTTCGGAACACAATAAGTGAATAGTTGCACAAAACTTTATTAATAATTGACTTGTTTTTCTTTGCTTGCAGGTTCACAGATCTGTAGAGATTCTGATAGAAAAGCAAGAACTTGCAGAATCTCAAGACGAGCTGGCAAATCTTCAGTTTGCACGGAAAGAATCAGCTACAGTTACTAAAAGCAGTTCTCAGCAACATGAAGAAAGAACACCTCGCCAACATTCTTCTTGTGATGCCAAGCAGAGCGATAACAACTCTCTTGATTTCAACGGGCAACAACTTTTACTTGCATCTCCACACCAACATCAAGCACCAATAACGCAAATCCAACACATCCCACCCCCCGTTTCACCCCAAGCCATTTCCCCACATTCACAAGGATACTATCTTACCCCACCTTCCCCTCCTAATCAACAGCTCCTTCAACTGGCTCAAGGTCAATACATGCCCACGACCGACTCTCATTCTCAGAAACAAACTATCATGCCACCTCACCCTTCTCTACTAACCCAATCGAATCAGACTTCACGTGCTCAATCAGCACCTCCATATCAGCAGCAGTTGTTGCCACATCAGAAACATATTCAACAACCTCATCAAGTTTCTGATGCTTATATTCCGTATCCACCCAGTCAACCAACTCCTTCCCCTGAGATGGTCCCTTATAACATTCCCTTCTCTGGAAGTCCCCAAACATCCCATAACCATCCCGAGGGAATGCTATATGGTAGTAGACCAGGTCAGCAGTTGCAGGCTCCAGCTAACCAACATCTCAAGCCTGCATTCGGTGGTCCAGGGGAGGGGTATGGAATTTCTCATGTCATGTACGAAGGTGGTGGTGAAGGAGAAGAAAGGGGACATCGTCCGCCCCAACAATCACCGCCTGCCTTCCAACAAGGCAGCTATCTTCCTCCACAACTACCATCTGGCAACGCGAATGTGATGGTTCGTCACCCACGACAAATGACGCACAACTTTCTTCACAAGGAGTTGGTCGAGAAAGTGGTGAGCATGGGTTATATGGCCGATGAAGTCATTAACGCGATCCAGAGGCTCGAGGGGAGTGGCCAAGCTGTTGATTTCAATGTTGTGCTTGATCAACTAAATGGGCCATCCTCTGGAGGAGGCTCTCATAAACTATGGTGAGTAGACACGTGCCTCTACTGTTCTTTCAACGGTGAACTATATGAATGTTAGGATGTGATTAAAACTTGAGTGTGACATAAAATGATCTTGAGATGCACATTACTGTTTGCCTTGTCATCTCTTCCCCAGCTTTTGCACTTCAGTTGTAATATATGAAAATGCTATTCCCTTTTTTTGCTGCTATAATGCATACACCTACTTGTTTGATTTATATTCCATTTGATTCAGTGTGCCTAACACATGGTTTTGTGTCTTGGCTCCTTAGGAGTTAGGATGGGATTTGACTACCCATGATAATTTATTCTTTAAAGCTCCCCATTTATGGACTTTTTTTTTTGAAAACCATTTGGGGACTTTATAGTTTATTCTTACTGCATAGTTACATGAGGATGCTGTGCCTGAAAAGCAATACATAAAAATAAAATGGGTATTGATAATTTGATATCCACACCCGGTTAAACACTAACTTCACCCCAGTTTAATATTGACTTTTTGACCGAATATAAAAAAAAGACATGTTTAATCTTATCCCTATAAAATTCACTAAATCCACTCCATAATCCTAATATAGTGCGGAGTAATACGGATCATATAGTTTTTATAGTTTTTAACGACGTTTGTGCTCTTCATTTTTCATCTCTGCACTTTGGTGTTGTAAATGTTCTTTACCTTCTATGGATGTTGAATCTCTGCACTTTAATCTGTGTTTTTGGCATGAATGTGATGGGTGATTGAAAACTCATTGTCGTCACACAGATATTCCCTCCATTCTCGAATAAATTATGTATGTTAACTTTACGTAATTTTAAAAATTGTTGAAAAAAATTGTATATAATAAAAATTTGTGTAGAAGAAGGTGAAAAACATGTGAGTTACAAATTTCATTCTTTATTTTGAGACGTGAAAAAAATGCTTAATTTATTTGGGACAATGGAAGCATATTTTCAAACCAAAATCAAAAGTATACAAATGTCTAATATTTCTTGTCTTAGTGTAACTATTGGAAAGTGTACAAAAGCTCTCCTTTTTTTTTTAAGTGTGGTCACTCTTTTTCTCTTTTCCTTTCTTTGAAAAAAGGTGGAAGGCCACCCCGAGCACCACACACCACGGCCCGACAAGATTGTGAGTGATGTAAATCACAGTATAATCTCAATCTCATCTTTAAAAAGATTGTCCAGTGTCCGATGTGCACCAAGAACTATTACAAAAAATATAACTCTCATACTCACGCTGTAAGGATTCGATTTTAGGATCAATGAACTTGACATTTTCTCCTTCACATTCCCTTAAACCAATGATAGTCCTTTCCTTAAACCAATGATAGAAGGGGTCTAAACTCAAAAGTCAAACCTACGAAGACGTCAAAATGCCTGCCAACCTGTAAAGAACAAATTTATAATACCCATGTTAATTTATCATTATATGGATTTTTTTCTGTTCTAGTGTTTATTGACATATTATTTATAAAAAAGTTTTTAATTTATAAGTTGATTATCAGTTAAGAATTATTTCATATAGATATAATGACTTAAATAATACTACGTATATAAGTCATTTGGAGATGTTCATAATACGTTAGAGATAGTTTCGTAAGTAATTTGGTTAAAACAAATGAAAACACTGACTTAAAAAATAAGTAAGCTCCCTATTTATTTTTTGACTTATATATCAGCTTATAAGCACATAGAAATACTCACTATGTATTTTAAGGCGTTTAACTAAAAGTACCTTAACGTTTAATTTTTACAATTGATGTCATAAAAAACTAATGTCAGTACATTTAGAAATTTAATACCCCCTCTTTCTCAAATTAATACTCATAGTTTAACTCTTTGTGCGGAATTTAAAGAAATATAAAATCGTGTGGTTTGGGAAAACATTAATACTCAAAAAAGAAAATTAATACTCAAAGCTTTCCATAAAAAAGAAAATTAATTTGAGACATCCCAAAAAAGAAAATAAAAAAGTTTGGGAAAACATTTCTTTATTAGTGTTAACATTTTGAATAAAATTTTAATAGTGTAGATTAACTTTGAAAAGGAGTGACAGCGCCCATTGTAGGTGTTTGCCGCACCGCGTTTGAAAATAATTTTTTTTCTAATTTCAACTCTATAAATTAATAACTTCCCCAATTTATTTTATCCCACATTTGATCTCACTAGACTCGAACCCGTGCGTTGCACGGTCTAATATTAATTATATAATTAGGGGAAACATTGATATAATTAAGAGAAACATTTTGGTTTTAGCAAAGATACATAGTATACATCTAAGAGGATGCATTTTACAATTAATGCAGTAAAGGGAAGAATACAACTATAAGTTTTGGAAAATTGTTTTATTTGATGTCGTAGGATCTTCACTACCAATCAAAATCTTTACTTAACTAACATTAGTTTATATTTACTTAACTAACATTAATGCTTAACATCTCATTAATTTTTAATAATCGGTAAACAATGCTTAGATAATATAATACAATAATACCAATGCCTAACGAAATATAAATAAGTAATAAAAAACATAATGGTTGATCTTGGCAATTAAAACAACCATTGATGTCTAACAAAATGATTACCGTTTTGCAATATTTAGGACATTAAACATTCCTTATACACTACATAAATATCGTTACAAAAAAAAAACTAACAGTGACACTAAGTTTCAAACCAAAACATATAGCAAACAAATAGTCGTCACACCAATACATGTTTTAGGTTAATAAAAAAGAAGATAGTCATCGTTGAAAAATTTCATGTTGGCTATTTTAAGCCTTTTGGATCTTCTCAACGGTTCGAGTGTAGGTGTTAATTCCATTCCTTGCCCAGATGGTGAAATAGGTTGCAGATTAGGTAATATTGGCGGAGGAGTGCAGTGCAATGGAGTCGGCAATGGAGGTGGTAAAATAGAACAATGATCACAAATAAAATAGGGACCAAAATCATCAAAGCCAATTTGTAAGCAGCGCATATGACCAGAGACACTAAAGCATTTCCAACACATTTCCATATCAAGTGAATCTTCATTACTGTTGCACTTGTAACATGGATCAATTAAACTTCCAATTCCTCCTATATCTGTAAAAAAAAAGTATATCATGATTTTTTAAAAGAAATGAAACCAAAAGAATAATTTAATACTCCCTCCGTTCTAAAACATTCTTCCAACTTTCACTCTTCTCCGTCCTAAAACTACCTTACCATTAGAAAAAAAAGATAACAAATGACATTAATACCATCATGTATTTACACCAATTATCTTCTAACTCTATATTTTGAATGATTGCACACAAAAAATTTCAAATTTGTTTTTTAAGGAGGGTAAGATTTGAAGTCACAGCCACAAATAAAAAATGGGGAAAAGTCAAACTGAGAAGAAACTTTTAGTACGGAGAGAGTATTTTTTTAAGTCTACATATCATGGCCCAGTGTGTCGAATCGGCCCAGTTGAAATGTTAAATAAGAAAGAAATAATTTGGGCCCAACCTTACGTTTATAATCTTTCATTCCCATACCTATCCCTATCCGCCGCTGCCTACGACTCTCTACATCTCTCTAGAAACCTCCTCCTTCGTCCCTTAGTCGATGAACAATCACCGCCTACTGGAATCGTCAACTATGGTTATCTGGTTACTACCGATGTTGACGCCGGCATCTTTCTTCGTATTTGAAGTACTCTGACACTTTATTTTGGGTAATTTTATTCAATTTCATGCAATCTCAGATATGATTTTTTTCTTGTTCTCACATCCAATATTTCTAGATCTTAAAATTGGGGGTTTATACCTACAGCCTTTGATTTCAAAGATGAGACTTTTTTTTGTTTCGTTCCAAATTTTAAAATTTTTTAAAGTTCCAGATCTGCAATTGAGAAGAACAACGATTTCTGCTAAAAATCCATATTTCTTAAACTGAATTAGTCGTTACATTAGTAGATTTAACTTATTCAATTTCATGCAATATCAGATCTGAATTTTTTATTCTTCTCACATACAATATTTGATCTGTATTTGAGAAAAAGAATGATCTCTGCTAAAAATCTATATTTCTTAAACTAAATTACATGTTGGTCCGAAGATTTTTATTTTTCGGTGCTTTTAAAATCTGGAATGTTAATTTATGATTTTTAAAGCTATTGTACCTCATTAATCATGTTTAATAATCTATGAACTTGTTTAAGGTTCAATTGCACACTAACATATCCTTTATGCTAAAAATAATTATTATTTAGATTTACCATCTCTATTGATTGATTTTATTAGTACCTAGAAATATTTTACATATTACTCATTAATATTTCATATATGAACCGAGAATATATATATATATATTTTTGTATATGGTATATAGGTATATATATGTTTATATATCTGTATCCAATCTGAGATAAAAAAAAGCCATTTTTTAATAAAAACAGTATTCATATTCTCTTATAGGCAGTAGATGTTATTGTTTTAAATAGTCATTAGACCTCAATATTCATGTTCAGCTTACGGTTTGAGCATGATAAAGGCTATATGGCCATTACCAGTTTCTCATGGCACGAAATGAGTTCTAAAGACATGATTCACTGAGGGTCCAATACTAAGAAAGGTAATTCCAAACTTTAATTACCTAAGTATTCAAAAAGTCATTCCTGATTGTGTCGCTAATGATTATGACATTTTTACTCTATATTTTCTATTTTCTATCATACAAACAGGTCATTGATTTCAGATCATCAATGTTAATCAATATATACAAATTATTGTAGGTGTTAAAGTCACCTTTGTCTGGTTCATCTTCGAAATGAATAAATGGATTGATCCCCTGGTTTTTGGTAAGCTTTCTCNAGGAATTTTGGTGTCAATTTGCAACAAGTCAGTGGCAAAGTAGAAAACAAAACAATCTTTATTGTTCATGTTCGGATATTTACTAAATTTTTTTAACTTTACAAATTAAGAAAATCTTACGTTCCAAAATGAATAATTCCAAAAATAAACATCTTACTTTCTCAAAAATAAACGTCTTACATTTCCAAAAATCAAAATGATACATAATTGGCATTACATAATTGAAAAACAATTAAAATTGGAGCATGAAATTTGAAAATAAAATTAAAGGAAAAAAAAATAAAAAGAGTACGAAGAAGAAGGGATGAAGAAGATGGTGAGGAAGAAGGTGAAGGGACTGCAATAGTTGAAGAAGAGAGAGAAAGTGGTCAATTATTAAAAAATTAAAAAGGAAAAAAGGAGGGGCATATATATGGGGTTTATTTGGTGGTGTGCATATAGCATTTCCGTATTATAATGGGCCGATTTTATCTATACATTATGTTGGTGGGCAAAAACTGTTACGGTTGCTGAAGCCCATTATTTTATTTTTGGAAGGTCATTATTTAAGAAACTGCAACTTACCACCATCCCATTATTCCACGCACATAGAGCACTCGCTGCTCATCTTCTTTCAATTTGATCAAATGGTGGATCTACGGCTTCAATGCTCAGGGGCTGCTCAACCTTATGTCCGACCAAATACGATGATGACTCTTCTTCACAGCATCTAGACATCAGACCACGGGAGCAATAACTTAACTTAGATCGTGAGAGCCGAGAGGTATTAAATTTTTTTAATTAAATTTGCACACACAATATATATGTGCTTTTTGGAATGCGATTTTTCGAATTTGATGCAAATATGGAGTGTCAGGTGCTTATTGTGCCTATATATTTGGGTTGAGGAAAATAAGAAATTCATCGGTGGTGGAAGATCTAGAATGATAGGCTTAGACACATTTGGGAGCATGTTCTCTTTATTTATTTTATTTTTAATAAAAGGGGTTATAACTTTTTTTTTATCTCCGGAGTTTTATACATCTTCTTCCTTGCAGACCTTAGTAATGAATTTTGAAACTCAATGTTAGATTGAGACTATGCTTAGTAATGAATTTTGAAAGTCAATGTTAGATTTATACATCTTCTTCCTCACTCCTCTGCTCCCTTTTTGGGGATTTAGATTGAGACTATGCTTTGGGGCTGCTCCATATTAATTTAATTTTATGTCTGGACAATGAACTTCGTTTTTCTCCTTTGAAAACCTCCCCAAAAACTACAACATTTTCCAGAAAAAAGTTTGATTTCTCCACCAATTCATCAAAGTCCATCTTTCCAACAAAAGTTAAATCACGAACGCTTAAAGTAACTTAGTTGTCATGTCTTTGTTCACTAGGTTGGTAACATGAAATATATTTAATGCAAATATATAGAAGCTGTAAAAACAAACAAGGGCATATTCTTACAGGGCAAGCGAGGTAATTAATTTAAAATGCTCAAAGGTATTAATAATTTTAATTTTGAAAGGCAAGCGAGGTAATTACATTTAAAATGCTCAAAGGTATAACTACAATAATAATTTTACAGGGCAAGCGAGCGCATTACACTGGACAATGGTTTGCATCTTCATAAACATTAATTCTTTTCATAATTTCTAAAAACCATTAACTGTATTGAGTGCTGATTAGGAGGACTGGCAGAATGATGACATGAAGAACAGTGAGAAACAAAGGAGTGTGGCAGGCAGCTTCTTGAGAAACAAAGCAATGTGGCAGGTAGCTTCTTCTTCTTTATGGCTAAGGTAAATTTAAATTAATAACATTTCTACTTTCGAGTAGGGGCAAGGTCTGCGTACACACACCCTCCCCAGACCCTACTCTTGTGGGATTTAACTGGGTTGTTGTTGTTGTTGTTGTTGTTGTTGTTTCCAACATTGTGCTTAGTTTTTGTAATTTACACATGATAGAAGAATTTGAGGTTACTTTTAATTTCTATAAGCAATTTGAAAGTCTTAGAAAGTTTTTCGATATTAAGAACTCCAAAATCATTTTGGATTTGATGGCTTATGGAAGATTGTAACTTTTGAGTTTGGTGTTCTTGCCCTGTAATATTTTTGTCAACTAAGAGTAGTAGTTTTTGGTCTATGCCTCAAGATGCCTTTTTGTTGAGAGTCATAGAGATTAAATGGAAAACAACAAGAGCAACTTATGAGGATAATGTTTGAAATGGAGAACAGGAACAACAAGAGCACACTGGATGTGATTAATGAGATTTAAGGAACTCATCCATGTTCATTTGTCCTCAATAAAAGAGGATTATCAGGGTATTTCTCTAATCCTAAATCTTATCACTTAAACTATGAAAAAGACACATCACAAGATCACTGAAGAAGAATTTCTGACTATTTTTTTCAATTCCTTTTCTGAGGGTAATTTAGGATTATTGATATTTTCCCCCTTTTTCTTAATTGAGGAAAGTTGGGTTCCATTTTTCTGAATGAGTTTTCCTAAAAATATGAAGAAATATAATGAAAGTAGATAATTTTAGTACGACAAGAAGATATGAACATTAAATGGTTTCCATTACTGAAGTGATGTTTGACTGTTTTTATACTCATTATAAGAAGTAATTTTGTTTATACCATATATTGTTTCAAACATAGTTAGTAAGGCGTCGCCTTTCTCGCCTTGACGCCTTGTTCGCTTCAAATTTATGAAAAGCCCAATTTTTTTTAGTGCAGCCTATTTTTTTAGTGCAGCCCATCCTTTTAGTGTAGCCCATTTTCTTTTAGTGCAGTCCAAGTATTTTGCAAGTCCATTTTAAAGAGTTTAAGAAGATTTAACTTAAATTATCTCTAGGCTCGATCAAGAGCCTCTTCCCATTCCAGATCTGCTGACTCACTTTCTTCTAAATGTTTGTGAACCCTTCTTTCTTTTTCAGATTATGTGTGGACTTTTGTTTCATATGTTGTGCCTTATTATTTATAATATATATATATATATATATATATATATATATATATATATATAATGTATGTATGTATATATAGGTCGCCTAGGCGTCCGCCTAGTCGCCTAGGCAGTATGAAGGTATATTGGCGCCTTGCCTCGCCTTACCGCCTTACAAACTATGGTTTCAAACTGATTCCTGAGGATGCAAGTATAATTGCAATCACACTAATAAGATTTGCAGAAGAATACCATATTTTCTGGTAATAAAGGCAAGGAAGCCCTGAAGGAGCATGAGAAAACAAACACCAATCTTTAATGTTATGAGCAACAAATCAGATGTTTTTTCTATGTGCATTTCTAAGACCCAAAGCAATGTTTGTTTATTCCCTTGCTACTAGATTCTTTTTCGGATCAGAAGAGTAGATTTAGTAAAGTCACTGCATACACGTACTATCTTTGATAATGGCGGGAGTATATGTTATCAGGTTCGTTCAAAAAGCATTTTCTACAAAACACTTCGCACTATGGCTAATGCCATATTAAAAGTGAGATATATGTAATTTTAAAGAAATCAATGATACAATGATGATGGGGTACTAAGCTGATTAGAGTTCATAAAAGATCCAATTGAAACATATGGAGTACACATTAAGCATGTTTTTCCTCATACATGTTCAACCTTTTTAGGTGTGGAAACTTATTTCTTTTGTTTTTTAGTGTATATTTTTTTTATATTAGTATATTTTTAAACAGCTTGGTATATATAAAATGCTCACCCAAGAAAATGATCATCATTTCTATTACCACCACTACGGTGTCTGTCATTTGAGTTTCCATCTATATGTTGTTAGGTTGTAGGGTATAGTCTGGAATAATTGTTTTGGATATGTTGTATATAGACTATTATTGTTTTTGTCAACGAGGATTCAAGATCCTCACTTATGACTAAAAATAATCCTTTGGATGATACTTAGAATGTTGAATAAAAAGAAGTATTTTTAGGATTTATGATTATATTTATTTTTTATTTAAATCATGCGATGTGGATTGGTTAAATATATTACTCTGTATATACATTATACCAACAACTTATATAAATTTGAAGTTAAATTTATCGTAAATATTATTTTAGCCATGCATCGCACGGGTTAGAATCTAGTATCATCCAAAGAGGTAAGTAATTAGGGTTTTGAATCTGAAATACTCGATTTATTTTGCTATGCGTTTGGTTATTTTGCATTTGATGTTTTGAATTACTGTACATTTGATTTCTTATTTGCTCTGCATTTATTTTTTTAATGTAAAATGTAAAATGAGCCTGTCATTTGTGAGTCCTGAGTTGGAATTTTGATTTTTTTTTTCTTTTGAGATTTTATAATTGAATCATTATTTCTTGATAGTTTGTTGTTCAGTATAGTATTCAAAAAGATTGAGAGATTCATTTTGAGTTCATGTTGATGGTTGATATTAGATTAAATTTCATAGTTGCTTCTCGATTTCTTGGCAGTTGATTTTTTCCATTGTGATGAATAATTCTCTCCACTGATTTGTAATTTTGTGTGGCTAGTTGCTTTATCTTTGAGTATTTCTTTAGTTATAATTATTTGAGGACAATAATAGTTGTTCATACACTGCATAATTGGTTCATTCTACTTTAGGATACAATGACGTTTCAATAGACAAACAAGTTTTTAGAAACTCGAATCGAGTGAGAGCGATTCCAATTTGAATTCAAATGAGCCTCCATTTTCCAACCAACCATTAGAAGTAGTTTGGATTTTCACCCAAATGTTCAAATGGAATATATATGTTGTACATAGTCATCTTCAATACATGGGTATCCCAACCTTTTCACATTTGGAATCCAATGAGTTGATTTTCCTCGATCCGCCTCACTTGTTCTCCTTTTTTATAGATTGTGAAAGATACACTCAAATTAGATGGCCTCTCTTACTTATTCATTATCACGAACCCTCATAAGAAATTCTGTGATCGGCCACACAAGAACATTCTCAAGATGCATGAGCAACATGCCCGAGAATACAGTGTATGGTGGTCCCAAGCTGCAGGACCCAAACAAAAGAACAACGCTCGCCACTCTGAGACAGAAACATCAGAAGGGGGAGCCCATAACCATGGTCACTGCATATGATTACCCTTCTGCGGTGCATCTTGACATGGCCGGGATTGACATATGTCTCGTGGGCGACTCTGCTGCCATGGTGGTTCACGGCCATGACACCACTCTGCCCATCACCCTTGACGAGATGCTTGTGCATTGTCGAGCTGTTGCCAAAGGGGCTAAATGCCCTTTCCTTGTTTGTGACCTCCCTTTCGGTAGCTACGAGTCAAGCACCACTCAGGTGATTTTTTTAGAACCTAATGTCTTCGGTATGTTTTTTTCTTCAAATATTTTATTAATTCTCGTGTTTCACTAATCTCTTAGCATTGGGAATAGATCTACCATGATCAAAGAAAACAAAATGAGAGGGAAAACAGTTTTTCATGTTTGGTTAGAGAAGAAAAGAAAAGAAAAGTAGAAGGAAAAGAAAATGAGAAGGCAAAATTATTAAGAGGAGAGAAAACCATTTGCTTGTCTTTTCCTTCAAAGTTCCTTGAAACCAAACATAGTGCTATGAAATCACTGCAAGCTTTTATTTTTGAAGAGGGTAGTTGATGGGTTGATGTAGTAATGCGGAATCATGAACAGGCTGTTAATGCAGCGGTGAGGGTATTGAAGGAAGGAGCGATGGATGCTATCAAGTTGGAAGCTGGTGCACCATCCAGAATTACAGCGGCTAAAGCCATTGTTGAATCAGGAATTGCTGTTATGGGGCATGTTGGACTTACCCCTCAGGCGATAAGTGTTCTTGGAGGATTTAGGCCCCAAGGTAGAAATGTCTCTAGTGCAGTCAAGGTATGAATTCTGATGTTAGCTTGCATATATAATAATAATCATCGCAGATTTCATTTCATATGCATTTCTTTTTTTAATTATTATTTAATTTTTTTCACAGGTTTTAGAAACTGCATTGGCTTTCCAAGAAGCAGGGTGCTTTGCCGTTGTCTTAGAATGTGTGCCACCACAAGTGGCAGCGGCCACAACATCTGCTCTTAAGATTCCCACCATAGGCATTGGCGCTGGACCCTTCTGCAGTGGTCAGGTTGATGACACCTCATCTTTTCGACCTTTTTTTTTAAATAATTTAAATTATATTTTTTCTATAAGTTATACACTAGGTTTACTGTTGTTGTATCATTCCAAGTGTTTTCTGAATACTCCAACTTTTATGCATTAATTTTATGTGTTGAGCTAATTTTTAACTTGTCAACGGAGAAAAACAAATGCATCTACCTTCCGCTTACATCTTTGAAACACATTTAGACCAAATTGGTAAACTTTGGTTGATGGTACATCATCTTTCACCTTATGTTTACATCTTTGAAACACATTTAGTGGATCATGTGTTTTGGAAGTAAAATTGTATCACCCATAACCTCAGTTGCAATGCAGGTTCTAGTTTATCATGATTTAGTTGGGATGATGCAACATCCACATCACGCCAAGGTCAGTACGTACAATCAGTCTTTCCCTAACACTATATTTGGTTCAAATAATTTTGAAGGATAAGAAAAGGAAATGGTTCTCTCTCATTTTTCTCACCGAAATGGGACGAGTTTTGTTTTCACTCCTCTTAGTACATTTGCTTTTTCATTTCCTTTTCGTTTCACTTTTTTTTTTCTTTTCCTCCCTAACCAAAGAACAATTGTTTCAAATCCCATGAACCAAACATAGTGTAAACAAAGTTATTTTGGGAAGGGGGGGGGGGTGTTTGGCTGACATTAGCCGCCCCCCATGTTATCATCTTTTGACATGGACCCCGTTTGGGGTTCTTATGGTGCTCCGTTCGAAAGATTGACGTTTCCTTTCCCTAACCTCCGGCAAACCCATCCTGGCCTGAACCCAACCCCACTCCCTTTAATTACCCCCACCAAATTTAGTTGACTTTGAGTCAACTTTTGACTCAAAAGTCAACTAAATTTGGTGGGGTGCAATTGAACGGGTGGGAGGTGGGTTGGGGTCGGACCGGGAGGGTTGCTGGGGGAGTTAGGGGGGTAATAACCGTCAATTTTTTGAATGGTGCATCGTAGGGACCTCGAGTCATCCCATGACATTGATTCCCAATGTCATGGGAACCAAGCCATCATTTTTTTCTGTTGTGATCCTACATTATCCCTACAACTTCAGCTGTAAATTCTGATATGAGAAGTACTCATGTTGAAGGTTACTCCCAAGTTCTGCAAACAATTCGGCAATGTAGGGGATGAAGTCAACAGAGCACTTTTGAAATACAAGGAAGAAGTGACTAACGGTTCTTTCCCCGGTGCGGCATACAGCCCGTATAAAATCAGCCCCGCTGACATGGACGGTTTCCTGCAACAGCTGCAGAAGTTGGGCTTCGACGATGCAGCATCTGCAGCAGCAAAAGCCTCAGCCGAGATCATTGAGACTCCGCCACCCAACTGATAAGGGCATGTTCTCTTCAACTTAATTCTCATTACTTATTGAAAAAGTCAGATCCAAATAGAAAAATCACAAGATCATATCAGATCAGAAACATCAAAAATCAGATCAGATAATAAATTCAAACCAGAACTAGTTATAGATCAGACTCCCTTCTTGATGCCTTCCATTTGGAGAATATAGATTGGTTATTCATCTTTCCCACAATATATGGTGCAAATTGCTTTCTGTCTGCCTATAATGATATTCAAAGGAGTTGTTTTTTGTTCAGGAAAGCTGGAAGGTAATTTCATTTAAAGACTCTCCCATGGGGCTATGGAAAGTTATGAATGTGACTTGGGATGATGACCACAAAATGCACCATGTCAGCTGCTGGCCCTTCCTTAGCCTACATGTTTCATCTCCACTTTGGGGCTTTTCATCTTTCTTCCCCCCTTCATGTCTTTGTTTCGATGTGAAATTGGGCTAAGAGCGTTTACAATGGGGCGGATTCTTGCCCGCCCCATTGTAAGTGTTTCAAGGCCCGCGAGGCTTTGATATCTTAACAACTGAATGCAACGATTTTGTTGAACATATATTCCCTCCGTTTTTAAAAACATTTTACGTTTACTCACCACTGATTACGGATTACAACTTTTGAAAGTTTTTAAATATGCAAGTTTTACTTTTTATATCTATATCAATTTTTAACACGTAAATAAAATCATTTTAAAAAAAATTTGGGATTTTGTAAGTAAAAATGGAAGAGAAAGCATTTTAAAATCGGAGGAAGTATTTGATTAAAGACAAATTCTATGGTGGACCTAAGGTCCATTATGGACCTATATATAAGCAAAATAAGTAATTTTTTTATAACTTAAATAAGTATGTATATGTTTTTTAATAAAAAATAAAACAAAATTATGTGAAAAGGTCCATTAAAGTGGTATTCATCCAAAGTGCACCAATGAAGCACTCTTGATTAAAAGCTACCAAACCACAGCTAAAATTTAGTTCTTCTATCCTAAAATAAGGCTCTTGTTCATTTTAAGATGTTTGATTGAAGTTATTTTCAAATCAGTATAAGTAAAAATTGGTATAAAATTAAAAAATAAAAATTATATATCAAAAAAGTTGTCTTTGTCTCACAATTTTTTTTCTTATTTTGTGTCTCACAATTCTCTTATCCATTATATTTAAAAAATATTTTACTCCTACTAATTCTTATTTACCAATCACATCATACTTATGAACGGTCATGATAATTCACAACTCGACTATGACAGCCATCCTTTCAAATGTTTCATAAGTCCTTAAGGAATGGAATTGAGTCTATTGACTGGTCTCATCGTTCCTACATAAGTCAAATAATCCTTTAAAATGGTTCAAAGGTCCTTAAGTTAACAGTGGCGGATCTAGGACAACATGTCACTGGGGGCACCATTGAAGAAGAATAGCAGCAAGAGGAAGACGGGGTTTATGGGCAACACGTCTACAAATTTTTTTTAATGCAATCTAATTCTTCCGCCTTGAACTATTTATCTAGTTTGAATAAAAAAGTCAATTTGAACGAAAGTTAAAAATTAATTATATTAAGTTTATATTGCACTACCTCAGTCCATGACTATATATACGTCTAATTTTGATTTTTTGTAGTTAAAATTGACAAGCTTTGACCATTAATTAAATAAAATTGATATTAGATATTGATACAAAAATGATTTTGTTAGATTTATTTCATACATTATTTTTAAAATATTGCTTTATCTAAATATATCATAAAATTTCTATATAATTCAAGGTCAAATATCGAAAATGACTAACTTCAAAAAGTCCGAACTAGACAAATACTCAAGAGCGGAACAACAACAACAACAATCCAGTTAAATCCCACAAGAGTAGGGTCTGGGGAGGGTGTGTGTACGCAGACCTTGCCCCTACTCGAAAGTAGAGAGGCTGTTTCCAAAGAGACCCCCGGCTCAACGTCGAAAGTTGCATTGCTTGACTAACTGCTACTTCATTCATTAAAGAAGTGCAGACAATTTAGAGATCCATTTTGATTTATTTCATCACACCCCAAAGCCAAAAAATGGTGAAATCTTGGCTCCATCAGAGATGATGGAAATACTCAAGAGCGGAAGTAGTGTATTAATATAAAGAAATACGTTTTTGATAGTTTTTGATAAGATAAACCTAGTAAAATTATTTATGTACCAATATCTTGTACAAACTTAATTTAATTGATGATAAAAATTTATTTAATTTGATTCGTTAATATCAAACTAGATGGAAACTAGTTGGGCGGCTACTAACGTTTGGATTGGGGCACCAAGAATATTGATCGGGGGCACCAAGAATTTTTTATTGGGGGCATCAATGAAATCAACCCCAATTTTTTTCTTTTTTATAAAATATGTAAATATGTTCACTGGGGGCAACTGCCCCCCATAGCTAAGCATTGGATCCGCCCATGCTTAAGTAAGTATGTTAATAAACCAAATATGAAGAGTAGTTAGTGTAAAAACTAGACTGAAAAGAATAGTTATCTAATTCTTGTTATGATGAGTGAGAGAAATTTGAGTATAAGAATATTATGAGTGTTCACACCTAGAACAAAATCCCCTCAATGGATTAGAGGAGATTATATATAGAGAGAAAGTAGCACTATTATGCTAAAAAATTTATACATGTGATGCTTGATTTATGTGTCTTTCATCAACATCAAGTGGATCCAACTAATGTGTGATTATATATTGAAGGATGCATGTGGCTCACTTTTCACATGTGTGTTTTGTAGCATTCCACTTTCAATTGGTGCTCTAGTCTATTTGGCTAGATCAATTCATCAAATCAATATCGATCATAAAAAAACTTCAATTATTAACGAACCGAGATAATATCATTATGTTCGTTCATGACGCTTCATAACTCGACTACGCCACTACAAATAAAGGAGGCAATACCGATAGGGGTCAATATGTCGTTAAAGGTTGAATATCTGTCACTACTTGCTTTTACGGACAGATAATTGTTTGTCGCTACGTTGTCGCTAAAAATTTCGTCACCAAAAGTATTATCGATATATATAATATACTGTTGCTAAAATAATGTAATAGCGACAGACCAAAGATGTCGCTAAAAAGAGAGGAGTACCGACAAAACATATATGTCGCTAAAACATGGATTACTGACAAAAAATAGTGTGAGTAAATCCTTCTTTTCTGTCGGTAATACCTTATTTTTACTAATATTAACATTTATTATAATTGTCGCTAAAAGTTGGATTACCCACAAAAAATTATGTGAGTAAAACATTTTATTCCACCGGTAACATTTATTATGACTGTTAATAATACCATGTTTCACACAAGCATGCTCTATTTAAGTGATATCAAAGAATTTTATTGACAAAAAAAATAATACTCATACTTGTATTAACAATAATACATAATATGATGACATTTTAAAGGGTTACAACTAACCCATTTACTAGAAAGTAAACCAACATCTCAAAATTAGTTCATCATTTGCGTACGTTTCAAGCTAAAGTATAAATAGTCAAAATGAACTAAATTAATATACGCATTGATATGGAAGATATAATCCAAGGATTTAATGCTCGTCACTATCTACATCTTCAAGTTCATCGCTCTCACCTTCATCATCTTTGTTCCATCATTCCTCATCGTGACTTTTCTCAGTGGTTGTATTACCATCAATTGTAAGGTCATCGATTTTGGATTAATTAGCCTTTGATCCCTATGCAAAAGAAATTTATAAGCACATGATAACGTAATTACAAATATCAAGTATTGAGAATACCTTAAGTATGGACCCAAAGATCAAATAAATATAATTTAAAATGAATGAATTGAAGTAAAGCTTTATTTTGTTCGCCTGATTTGATTAAATCTGGTTTGATGTTTTGAATATCTGGTCTAGTATGATCTGATTAGATCTGATTTAGGTTGTGTTGATGGATCTTATAACTCTTATTTGATCCAAATAAAAGTTGAAATTAGTATACTTCGTAATGACTTTAATAATAACAACAGCAACAATAATATTATTGTTATTATTTGTTGTTGTTGTTGTTATTATTATTGAGTTATGTGTTTTATGAAACAAAGTATTGAGTAATACCGAGTATAATAAAAACGTAGAAAAAATAAATTATTGACAATAACTAATTATTGAAAAATATGGATACTACTTAACAAAATGATAAAATTTATATATTGCATAGTAATCGTGTTAAAAATGTAGATATCGTAGTTACGCATTTTAGAAATTGTGCTAACATAATACTAGTATTTCATTTGTAGATGTCCCAAAAAACTTTACTCTTTATTTTTATTTTATAGAAATGTATATAATTCAATATGTTTCACTCCCATTTACAAAGAATTTAACTCTTTATTTTTTTTAATATTCTGATCAATACATCATTTTTTTCTTGATTTAATTAGATCTGATCAAATTAGATCAAATTTGGACTAATCTCTGCTTGAATTTGGACTGATCTCTACTTGAATTTTGACTGATCTCATCTGATTCTAATATTTTTATTAATTTCACCTTTTTTTATTTTGGAATTTACTTCACATGGTATGTTTGTGAAGTTTTTTGATATAACTCTCAACAAAAAAAAAGGCCACTGCCGTCTGAGCTATCTCAGTCTTGCCGGAGCATCCAACTCTCCATCTCCTCGAATTCATCGACAGCTGACCTCTTCATTCAGCTCCTTCCAAATCTCATCTTTTCTTCTGTTCCTATCCCCTCTAGTCGGCGCTTAGTTCAGGTATCCACACTTCAATCTCCAACCAAGTCTCCATTTCCATGTTCGAAATCCTTCCATTGTCTCCTTTTCAAGGCACTAGTGTGACACAGAAGTCATGGGTGATCATTGGTCCGATGCTTCGGGCGAAACCAATTCCCAGGGTGTGACGGGCGGTGTGTACAGGGCCCGGGTACATATTCACCGCGGCATGCTGATCCGCGATTACTAGCGATTCCAACTTCATGTTCCCGAGTTGCAGAGAACAATCCGAACTTAGGCAATCTTTCCGGATTCGCTCCGCCTTACAGCCTTGCTTCCCATTGTCATTGCCATTGTAGCACGTGTGTGGCCCAGCCCATAAGGGCCATGCGGACTTGACGTCATCCCCACCTTCCTCCAGTATATCACTGGCAGTCCTTATCCAGATCAAGATCAAGAGTCAAAAGTGAGTGC